CACTGCCACCTAATCTGTGAGGGAAGCCGGGCAACAATCAATATCAGCCTAGGAACTATTTTATAAAGGGACTGTTAATTACAGAAGGTTTTATTCAGTGGATAGCGTAGTGTTTACTGTCTCTGGCTGACTTCACTATTGCAGGCTGTTCAGCTTAGAAGAAACTGTATCAGGTAAGGCTTGAGGAAGACAGTAACAAGTTTATTTTAACATGTTTAACTGTTTCTTCACAAGAGGCACAAATCTTGATGGTTACAATAAGGTTTCATGAGTAATCTCAGGCACAGACTTCAAGAGGTTTCTATAAGCAGATGTCACTCTTCTGGACAACTGTCCTAAATAAAACAAATAAGCTAAAAGGCTTATTAACAGAATTGGCTCCCAGCCAAACCTTGATTCTTAACTACATTCCCTGAATCTCCACCCTGAGACTCAATGTTCTCTCAGTAGCTCTCCGGCCACTGACTGACTTTTTAAAACACAGCTGCCTCCTGAAGAGGCAGTGGGCTCCGCCCCTGTTGCTATGGCAACTCAGCTAACACCAAGCCACCCTCTCCCACAAAACATAATCTCCCATACTTACCATCCCTAAACCACTATCTAAATTACACATAACCAAAGGAATAAAAGTTTTAGAGTTGGGTGCCATCTCTACGCAGATGACACACAACTCTACTACTCCTTTCCACCTAATTCCAAGGAGGCTTCTCGGGTGCTAGACGAGTGCCTAGCCGCTGTGTCTATCTGGATGAGGAGGAGCAAGCTGAAGATCAATCCCGACAAGACAGAGGTCCTCCTGGTCGATCGTAAACCGGATCGGGGTATAGGGTGGCAACCTGTGTTGGACGGGGTTACACTCCCCCTGAAGTCACAGGTCCGCAGTTTGGGAGTCCTCTTGGATTCATCGCTTACGCTTGAGGCTCAGGCGTCGGCGGTGTCCGGGAGGGCTTTTGCACAATTGAGACTCGTGCGCCAACTGCGACCGTACCTCGCAAAGGCTGATCTGGCCGGGGTGGTCCATGCCTTGGTCACCTCTAGATTGGATTACTGTAATGCGCTCTACGTGGGGCTGCCCTTGAAAACGGCTCGGAAATTCCAACTGGTCCAACGGGCAGCAGCCAGGATGTTAACTGGGGCTCCTTACAGAGAGAGGTCAACCCTCCTGTTCAAGGAGCTCCACTGGCTGCCATTTATTTTCCGAGCCCAATTCAAGGTGCAGGTGCTCACCTACAAAGCCCTAAACGGTTTGGGACCTGCCTACCTGCGTGAAGGCATCTCCGTTTACGAACCCGCACGCTCCCTTCAATCATCTGGAGAGGCCCTGCTCACGATCCCACCTGCGTCGCAGGCGCTTTTGGTGGGGACGAGGGATAGGGCCTTCTCTGTGGTGGCTCCCCGACTCTGGAACACCCTCCCGAAAGATCTTAGACAGGCCCCTACATTGGCAGTCTTTAGAAAAAACTTGAAGACCTGGCTGTTCCGATGCGCCTTTCCAGAATAGGAATCTCCAATAACAAGTCCCAGAAGCACTTCCATAGAACTAAGATTGTTGCACACTGCACACTGCACTTGCCCTATAATCCCCACATACCACCTGTCACATCAGCCCTTTTAATCCTGTACCCACTACTCTGGCCCGGCCCAGTTTTTATAGTGTTTTGATGTATTGTTTATTGCATGTCGTTATACTGCTTTAACTGTTTTTAATTTGCTTTAGGTGTTGTATTGTTGTGTTGTGTTTTGAGGCCTCGGCCTTTGTAAGCCGCATCGAGTCCTTCGGGAGATGCTAGCGGGGTACAAATAAAGTTAAAAAAAGAAAAAGAAAAGAACTCCAGCTGCCACCTGGAGTGGCGTGGCGGCAAGGCAACCTGTGTTTGAGCCTGAATCTGTGATTGTGTTTCTGGATCTGACTTGGATAGTGAACCTGATGTGATCAATGAGGATGAGCTGCAAAATGGAGACACTTTGGACAATAAGGTCACTACAGACCCTGATAGAGAAGGGTCAGGGGAAAGGCTAAGTTGTCATGAGAAAGTTCCTGTCACGGCAAGGGAAGAAAGTTTACTCCCTTCTCCAAGCTCGAGTTTGCAAGATAGTTTCACACCTGCTGCAGTTAATGAGGAGATAGATAAGACGAGTTGCCGTCTGGAAATCAGCCAGAACCGTCGAGAGGCCCAATGTTTACGCAGGTCAGAAAGAATTTAGCAGTTAAGGCCAAAAACTGGGGGGAGTAGAAATCAGTTTTTGGGACTTAAATTGAGCTCTTAGAGAATTTTCTTTAGACCAGGCATAGTTTGGAATCACGTTCAAGTCTCCTGGATATTCCTGTTTCATGTGGCCTCGTCTCTAAGGATTCATGGCTTTTCAAGTGGATTAGCAGTGGCTAGTTTTATTTTAAGGCTTTTGCATTTGGATTATTGCTGCAAGCTTTGGGACATTGTTATTATACCTATGTTTGGACACTGCTTATGTTGCTGCTTTATTTGGCTTCTTTGCTTTTGGACTTCTACTTATTTTATATTCATCTCTTTTATTGGCTCTAATTATTCTTCAAATAAAAGGGACTTTTCCTACATTCAAGGTGTGGTGTAATTAATGATTAGAGGATCCTGTTCCTGTTCTAGGATGCAACACCTAGTGGCAACGATGAAACACCTGCCGGGGCCAAACGGCATTAGCTGTTTAAACTCTAGCCACCACCTGGAACAGCGTGGCGGCGAGGCGGCCCAGCAGAAGTGATAGGAGTCCTATCGGGGCCAGGCAGCAGTTGCTGGTCGAACTCCATCTGCCACCCAGAGCAGCGTGGCAGCGAGACGGCCTAGTGATGGTGATGGAAAGCCTCCCAGGGCTCTCCAGCCGCCTCCCGGGACAACAAGACAGCCAGACGGCAACAGCTAGCCGAAAACTCCAACCGTTGAAGGAAAGAGGTTAGCCAGAGCTCAATAGCCTCCTCCCGGCAATGATGGAAAGTAGCTCCGCTGGAGTAAGTCTTCTATCGGCAGGAGGGTGCAGCGATGTAATGGCGGCGCTCAACCCAAATTCTCCTCTCCTTCCTCTGGTCTAATTCCTAAAGTCCCAGCTATCCAAGGCAGTATCAGGGCCAAGGGTAGACGAAAACAGTTCAAAGTTACCAGCAGATTAGAATTACCAGCAGATTAGAGGCTGGGTGAGGGAGGATTGTGTTCAATTGAGAATCATATTCCTGCAGCCACTGCAGGGTTCGTGTTACCGCGTCGCCATTTTGGGGGAAAAAAACTCCTTCATAAAGCTAAAGAAAAGCCATGAAATATATTAAGCAAAAAGTTTTTATTTCTACCACAAAGCATTAGAAAAATGTTGAATAGGCAGGATAAGTAATACAAATCGCTCTGTGTGAACGGAGTCAATGACACCGATAGTACATGTAATAAAAGTTAAGGCTTTTCTACCCACAGTGATACAAACATGAAGCAAATATTGTAAGTTTATGGTTTATTGTTTACTGCAAAAAGTCAGTGGAGAAATTTAGTGCACACTGCTATAGAACCATTCTGAAGTTCCTCACCCTTTATGCTTTACCTTCTAACATTGAGTGCCAAACTATATGGGATGATACCATTTGCAACTGTGTGAAGAGCATCTGCCAAGATCTTGTGGCCTTTTAAAAATGCTTTTGCTCTCTAGTATTCTTCCAACACAACTGATTCTCGTGTCCTTGTTTGTAACTTTTCAAAATGGCAGGTTTCTACATTTGGCCCTGAGAAAACTTTTTTATCTAGCTGTCAGATTACTGCAATTTACTCCCTTTAGTAAATGGGAATGAAACTCAATGCCAAGGTAAAGCTCAGAGATTTTAGCTCTCAAATCTCATGGAAGATGTGTTTACTTTTGATATTTTAAATTTCTGACCATAAAGCAAATACAATTTGTTAACCATCTTGAAATCACAATAAGCCATGAGTTGATGTTGGTTTGTGGAGTGTGGCTTTTGACATGGACAGTGACATGGACAGTGAATTGATGTTGGTTTGTGGAGTGTGGCTTTTGACATGGACAGTGATTAAGAGATTAAACACAGTTTTCCTTCTGAAATGAATGGGATACACTCAAGACCGTTCTATTATACAAAGCTGTCAATTTACTTTCTTGTTACTTGTTACTTTCAAAGCCATTGTTTGTTCCTGGCTTATTTCCTTAGCCTTAAGAAGGTGTAGAGAAAAGTTCCAGGAGGAAAAAAATATACAATTTAGCTGTAATTTGTTTCCTTGGTAGACAATTCATGGCTAAAGCCATGGTAGACAACGCTTTACCTTCTAACATTGAGAGCTGAAATATATGGGATGATGCCACAACCAGGATGAGGATAAACCCTGGCTTAGCATGATTTATAACATGACACAGGAAATCTTCTAAAGCACTAAATATTCCTCACATTGTGTATGTAATTTCAAAAAATTGAAGTATTACGTTTTTTTACTGGAGTCACATTTTTTACTGGAGTCACATCTAGACAGATTTCACACTAGCATTCTTTATGACATGGACAGTGACTAAGAGATTAAACACAGTTTTCCTTCTGAAATGAATGGGAGACACCCAAGACTGTTCTATTATACAAAGCTGTCAATCCATTTAACTGTGATTTGTGTAGGGGAAAAAATCCCAATAGAAAACTAACAAAATAATGGGAAAATATAGAAAGAACTGAACTTTTACCAAATTGGGAATAAAGGCATGCAAATTCACTTTTGTAAATTTGTGTCATAAACGAGTTTCTTTAAAAAAAAAAAAACCATGGATGCTCACTTCTTTCCAGAAAGTGGAAAAAAAATATTTTTTAAAATGCAAAATGGATGAATTTGGAACAAAGCTTGGGGAAGACCAGAGAGAAACTGAAAGCCTTCTTGGCCTTTTGTAGAAAAGACGGGAAAGTATTGATGATCTTAACATACTTGGCTTTCTCTATGTGTTTCCCTCAGGAATACAATGTCTCCTAAATTAATCACACAGCCAGTCTTCCAACAAAGGCAATAATAAAATTTTAATTAATGAATAGTGTGCATTCAATATAGCAATCTTTAATTATCTCATTTTAAAGCTCTGCCGCAGAGACAGCAAAATCTAAACACTTTTCCCACCTAAACCTGCTCGATATTCCATATCACAAACACATCTGTAGGTGAGAAACTCTTTGGTGATGCCTGGTTTGTTTAAAAGAATTAAACATAATTGAGTGGCCTTATTACAGGTTTAATAGCACAGCAAAGCTAAAAATATAGTGTACAACAGTTATATGCCTACAGAATTTGCAGTATGGTGCTGAGACAAAGATACCAAACCTGTACAGCCTTCTGCATATCTGTCACTTCTTCTGTCTTTCATCTTGTTCCCTGTTGTGTTTCCATTATTTTCCCCTGCATAAATATCCCACGTCGTCCTGTTTCCAATCCAGTTTAGTAGGCAAACCTCATCTCCTTGGAATATCCCAGTTTATCAAGGTTGGGAATGCAAGCATACTGGATCATTGGAGGAGGACCACACATCAGAATGAGAGTGTCATCTTGGGGTGGTGGCATGTGATCCTTGAGCATGTCTTGATTCACAAATCCTTGACTGTAATTCCAATCTGCATTTGAAAAGTTCTGTTAGAAACAGTGCCTTCCACACACACATTTTTACATCACCACAACAAAAACAGTAAAAAGCAAGTCACAAAAACATGGCAAAAACCAGTAGCTAAACTGATCCAAGTCCGTTTTGTCTGATGCTTGAGGAGGTAACAAATCACAATGGAATTAAGATGACCACAGTTAAGAGAGGAGCTTTTTGCTGGCCAAGCATTAAAAACAACTTGATATGCTGCTCTTAATTTTTTTAACTACCTAAGAATATGTATCCATATCAGAACACTAACTGGGCAACTGACAAAAGCTGGCATCCTGGTAGTGGCATACACAGGTGTAGGTTATCCCTATGACTTTGTCAGTTTGTTTTCTGCTGCCCTGGAGACTAGGACGTGGAACAATGGCTTCAAACTACAAGAAAGGAGAATCCTTCTGAACACTAGGAAGAACTTCCTGACTGTGAGAGTTTTTCAGCAGTGGAACTCTCTGCCCCGGAGTGTGGTGGAGGTTCCTTCTTTGGAAGCTTTTAAACAGAGGCTGGATGGCCATGCAATTTTCCTGCTTCTTGACAGGATGGCCCATGAGATCTCTTCCAACTCTATGATTCTATGATTCTATTTTTGGTATTCCTGACCTCCCTGTGCACCTTTCCTCTCTTGGACAAATCAACTGTATACCTGCTGAACCTTGTTTATTTGTGGCCTTTTGCACTTGGAAGAGAGTAGGCAGGGTATTACAGAAGCATCCAGCTATATGTCTCAAGAAGTCGAACGTTCCCCTGGCCACCGCCGAAACCTGGGGTTCCAAGCTCAGCGGTGAGTCCAGGAGAAATCCCAAGATGCAAACTTGTGTCTTCAGGGAGAGTGTAAGTAACTGCGTCCAACACTGGCTGTAACCCTATACCCTGTCCGCCCTTACGACTAACCAGGAGTACCTCTGTCTTGTCTGGATTCAGTTTCAATTTGTTCACGGCCAAGCACTGGTTCAGGACCTGAACAGCCTCCTTAGCAGTAGGTGGGAAAGAGTGACAGAGTTGGACGTCATCTGTGTACAGAAGACACCACACCTCGAATCTCTGGATAATTTTTCCCAGTGGCTTCATGTAGATGTGACACAACTTGGGGGGCAGTACTGAACCCTGCGGGACCCCACAGGACAATGGCTGTGGGGCTGAGCAGGTGTCCCCCAACAACACCTTCTGGGAATGACCCTCCAAGGAAGGACTGGATCCACTGCAGAACAGTACCCTATGGCCCATTTCTGTGAGGCGTCCCCGATGGATACTGTGGTATTGAAGGCTGCTGAGAGGTCTAGCAGAACCAACAGGACACACTCCCCATATCCAGTTCCTGGCATAGATCATCCACTAAGGTGACCAAGGCTGTTTTAGTTCCATGGCCCAGACTAAAGCCAGAGTGTGCTGGGTCTAGATAATCTGTCTTCCAAGAACACTTGGACTTGCAAGGCCACCCCACTTTCCAGGACTTTGCCCAAAAAAGGGAGATTGGAAACTGACTGAAAGTTGATGAATTGAGAAGGACCCAGTGATGGTTTTTTTCAAGAGCGGTTTTATTACAGCTTGTTTTAAGCTGGCCAGAATCGTGCCTTCCTGTAAGGAGGCATTAACCACCACACACACTGCTAAATCCCCTTTGGCTTCATCAGCCAGGATGAGCAGGGGTCTAGAATGCATGTGGTTGCCCTCGCCTCTCTAAGTATCTTGTCCACATCCTTGAGCTTCACCAATTGAAATGAATCCATTAAAACCGGACAAGCAGGCATTTGTGCTACATCCTGAGAGACTGCCGTTAAAATGGTGTCCAGGTTGGAATGGATCAAAGCGACTTTGTCTGCAAAGAAACAAGCAAACACTTCACAGTGAGCTGCCAAATGGTTAGGGATCCTATCTTGGAGATGGGATTTAACAGCCCTCTGACTGTTCGAAACAGCTCAGCTGGACACAATGTTGACCGCAAAGAAAGCTTTCTTTGCGACGTCTATTGCCGCGGCATACGCCTTTGAATAAAGACACAGCTGTGTTCAGTTTGACTCGCTATGCCTAGTATGCCATACACACTCCAGTCTTCTCTTCATTCACTTCATATCTGTCAGTTCCAGAACCAAATAGTGTATGTAATTGTAAGCAACCATGAAATGAAAAACTTACTTTCAGGTGCCCTGTCCAACGTATACCACAGTTTAAAGTGGGCTGAATGCTGAGTCTGCACTTCCTCAAGTTCTGGGCGCAGAAGGATATCTTCCTCAGTCTGTTTAAGAAAGGTAAACACCATATTTGTATTTCATAGTCTTGTGTATCTTCTGTTTCATATTTAAAGGGCAATGGATTCTCGCTAGAAAGTCATTTTGTATAAATTTTGCCACCCTCAAATTTGAGAGCTGCTACTTCGCTATTAACCTGGCAGTAGTAAGGGTCGAGATTAAATAGGCTAAACCTCTTGGGGCTGCAGATAGGTTTTTTAGCAGCTCACTTTCCAAATAAGGTATGATTAATGATTATTAGAATTGTTGTTGCTGTGTGCATTTTAAGTCATTTCAGATTTTGGGTGACCCTATCTCAGTATTATCTTGGCAAGAATTGTTCAGATCTGCCTTTGTCTTCCTCTGAGACTGAGGATATAACTGCCCAAGTTCAGCCAGTGGGTTCAGAGCTATAGTCAGAGGTTCAAATCACCATAGCATTGGGATTACAACTTTCTGAAATCTGAAAAAAAAAAACCCTCATTTGATGGCATCTGCTGCATTGGAATGAAATTGTCTGATTACTGGTGAGACTGGAAAGGATTTTGATGAGAAGGCACCTAGCAAAAGTGCCAGCAGCAAAGAGGGACCCGCCTACCTACGTGACTGCATCTCTGTATACGAACCCACACGATCCCTTCGATCTTCCCGAGAGACCCTGCTCTCGATCCCACCAGCATCGCAGGCACGTTTGGTGGGGACGAGGGAGAGGGCCTTTTCGGTGGTGGCCCCTCGACTCTGGAACTCACTCCCTAAAGATATCAGACAGGCTCCAACTCTGGCAGTCTTCAGGAGGAGCTTGAAGACGTGGCTGTTCCAGTGTGCCTTCCCGAATATGAATCCCATAGCACTTTGTCCTCCAAAGCACTTTACATTTTCCTGAGTCTGCTTGTATGCCCTCCACAAACACTAGTATCACCTTTCGTTCATGGCCCAGCATTATTTCCAATTTTAACTCTACATTTGGCCTTCCCACTGTTTTAATTATGTGTTGCTTTTTTGATAATGTTGTGTATTTTATTGTCTATGTTTTTTAATTGCTTGTATTGATGTTTTATTGCTTTGTTGTGTTTGGGCTCGGCCTCATGTAAGCCGCACCGAGTCCCTTGGGGAGATGGTAGCGGGGTACAAATAAAGTTAATAATAATAATAATAATAATAATAATAATATCATACCTTTGTATGGTTCAGCTTTATTGGAATACTATGTATGTAAATAAATAAATAAATAAAAGAGGAGGAAGGAAAATAAGAGGGAGAGAAAGGAAGAGAGACGTTATACTTCCCGCAGAGGAACTTACACAGCCCTAGGTAAAAAGCCTTACTCATGATATCCCTGTCTCCCTTTTTCTTTTCTTCTTCTTTTCCTTCCTTACATCCCTCTCTCCTTCCTCCCTCCCATCCTTTCTTCCCTACCTTTTGCCTTTCTTTCTTCTGCCTCTCCCTCCTTTCATCCTTCCCTTCTTTCCTTCCTTCCTTCTGGCCTGCCAGTCTTCCTTCCACTCATCTGCTCTCCTCCTTTGAATTTCTTTCGTCTCCCACTCTCCTTCTTCCTTCCCCCTTTTTCTTTTTCCTACTTTTCTCTCTTGCTTGCTCTTCTTCCTCCCTCCTTTCTTCCCTCCTTTCCTTTCTTTTTGTCTTCCTCCCTCCCGCCTTTCCTTATTCTGTTCTTATAGTCTCCTTCCCTCCCTCTCTTACATAAACTAGAGAGGGCAAAGGTAGCACAGTCACCATTGCTTGACCGGCTTCTGGTGTTATTTCCAGGGTTTTAAAGTGTGGTTTTTTAAAGATGCTCAGAAACTGTGTGGAAGCCAACTATCCTGGCCAGCATCCAGAAAGCTTCCCCATCCCTGCGCCTGATGTTGCCTCCTCTTCCTTTTGCCTCATGCCCTGCACCTTTCTTTTTGTTGCTGCTACCTACTGCTAGCCCCACTTGACTGGGGTTTTTTGAAGGGAGAGGATGGGAAGGAGGAGGCAGCAGCTGAGAGGGTGTGGTCCGTCTTGCTTCGCTGCTTGATGCCATCAGAAGTGGAGGCAGCAGAGATGAGGAGATGGTAGGAAGAAACTATGTGTGCTGGGGGGATGGCAGGATGCTCTGCAGGCCGCATGTTGTGCAGGCCTGGTATAGTGTGCAGCTCTTACACTGCTACTGTGCGCCTTCAAATCATGTCCAACTTATGGCAACCCTAATGCAAGATTCGCTTCGCCTTGAGGCTGAGAGAGAGTGGCTTGACCAAGGTCACTCCGTGATTTCCATGGTCAAGTGTGAATTTGAACCCTGCTCTCCATCTTCATGTTCAAACCACTACAGCGTACTGGCTTTCCTATAAATTCAACACTAAACTACAAAAGGTCCTAATGGACAAGAAAAAAATAGGACAAGTGCAAAGAAGCCAGAATGGATGTCCAAAGAACTTCTAACTGTGCTAAAACACAAAAGAGACATGCACGAGAAGTGGAAAAAGGGAGAAATCACCAAAGAAGAATTCAAACAAATAGCCAACACCTGTACGGAAAAGGTCCGCAAGGCTAAAGCACAAAATGAGCTCAGGCTTGCCAGGGACATTAAAAACAATAAAAAGGGCTTATTTTCTTATGTCAGTAGAAAAAGGAAAAACAAGGAGGCGATAGGGCTTCTTCGAGGAGAAGATGGGGCAATGCTGACAGGGGTTAGGAAAAAGGCAGAACTACTTAATGCCTTCTTTGCCTCAGTCTTCTCACAAAAAGAAAGTCATCTTCAACCTCAGCAAGATGGACTGGACGAGGGATTAGAGGACATCCAACCCCAAATTGGGAAACAAGTTGTCCACAAATACCTGGCCACTCTAAATGAGTTCAAGTCCCCAGGGCCAGATCAACTACACCCAAGAGTACTGAAGGAACTAGCGGAAGTCATTTCGGAACCATTGGCAATCTTTGAGAGTTCTTGGAGAATGGGAGAAGTTCCAGCAGACTGGAGGAGAGCCAATGTGGTCCCAATCTTCAAGAAGGGAAAAAAGGATGACCCAAACAATTACCGTCCCGTCAGACTCACGTCGATACCAGGCAAGATTCTGGAAAAGATTGTTAAGGAAGTGGTCTGCAAACACTTAGAAACAAATGCGGTCATTGCTAATAGTCAACATGGATTTTTCAAAAACAAGTCATGCCAGACTAATCTGATCTCTTTTTTCGATAGAGTTACCAGGTGGATAGATGCAGGGAATGCCATGGATGTAGCATACCTGGATTTCAGTAAGGCCTTCAACAAGGTCCCCCACGACCTTCTGGTAAACAAACTAGTCCAATGTGGGCTAGGCAAAACTACGGTGAGGTGGATCAGTAATTGGTTAAATAGACGAATCCAGAGGGTGCTCACTAATGCTTCCTCTTCATTCTGGAAAGAAGTGACAAGTGGAGTGCTGCAGGGTTCCGTCCTGGGCCCGGTCCTGGTCAATATCTTTATTAATGGCTTAGATGAAGGGCTAGAAGGCATGATCATCAAGTTTGCAGACGACACCAAATTGGGAGGGATAGCCAATACTCCAGAGGACAGGAGCAGGATTCAAAACGATCTTGACAGATTAGAGAGATGGGCCAAAACTAACAAAATGAAGTTCAACAGTGACAAATGCAAGATACTCCACTTTGGCAGGAAAAACGAAATGCAAAGATACAAAATGGGGGACGCCTGGCTTGAGAGCAGTACGTGTGAAAAAGATCTTGGAGTCCTCGTGGACAACAAGTTAAACATGAGCCAACAATGTGATGTGGCGGCAAAAAAAGCCAATGGGATTTTGGCCTGCATCAATAGGAGCATAGTGTCTAGATCCAGGGAAAGTCATGCTACCCCTCTATTCTGCCTTGGTTAGACCACATCTGGAATACTGTGTCCAATTCTGGGCACCACAATTGAGAGATATTGACAAGCTGGAATGTGTCCAGAGGAGGGGGTTGGACTGGATGGCCCATGAGGTCTCTTCCAACTCTTTGATTCTATGATTCTATGATTCTATGAAACAAAACTACTATATTACAATTAAGTCAGCCTCATTTCTGTTATACTGTGTTACTGTGTTACTCATTTTAATTAATTCAGCAAAAGATCTATAGCTCATTTTACTTGCACAGAACAGAAGTAACCACTGGCAAAATATAAGCCAACCATTTATACGTTGCACTAAAGGTGTATATAGAAAAACAATAATACTATGCAAAAATATTTGGTACCAAATAAAATATTATATTTACAAGGGAAAGAATATTTATTTGCACCTATTCTAAGCAGAAAGCTATTTCTAGAGCTGCATTTCCTACAAGCTATTTTGGGACAGGATTAGGTTACCAGGTGTCACAACAGACATTGTTAGTGACAACGCTATTAATGGAAAACCAAAAGCTCAACTTAAACAACAGGGTTGTGAAAGTTAAACTGGTAGATGGATCCGTATGATCAGAATTTTAAATTTGTTACACCCAGGTTAAGTTCTAACTTCAAGGTATGCCTGTTTAGTTTAGGAAACTGCTCTGGTTCCAAAGAAAGTGGGAGCTGGACAGAACTATGCCTTCCTAAAGGAAGACCTACTAAATTAAATAAGGTTTACTTCTAGCTAAATATCTGTAGCACTACATCTTTAGCGTTATTTAATTTCTTGCTACCTTATGCTTCCTGCACTATACAAAAAGCAATTTATACTGAGCTAAAAAGTGTGGCAAAGTGTGCAACATTGGCTACACCAATGCAGACAAACAATACATCTGGATGTGAATATACACAAATCATAATGTACTCTTTTTACGCCGGTGAAGTATACAGGCCCAAACAATCCTTTTGTCAAATGAAACCAAATGTAAATTGCTGGGGATGAAGCTGTTTTGACAAATTTGAAGTAAAATAATAATAATAATAATAATAATAACAACAACAACAACAATTTTATTTATAAGCCATCCTATCTTCCCGAGGGGACTCAGGGTAGTTTCCAACAAATGATGGCAAACATTCAGTGCCATAAAACAATACAAATTGAACAAACAGCCCCATGAATAAAACATCTATAACAAATTATAACAACTATTCACAAAGCTTAAATAATTAAACAAAACATATAAATCTATTAAACCTACAAAGTAACAAAACTAATCAGTTTCAAAACAAATAAAAACAGTTAAAATAATAGTTATATAATTTATCCACCTATTACTTCTTGATGTTATCCAGACTAGAAAACAGCCAAGTGAGAAAGAAAAATGGGCTGCTATTTACTCCATTCGCCCTTTACCTCAGTTCTGCCCTTAGAAAAGTGTTAACTGAGGAACTACCTCTTGGATCTAGGCTATTTGAAGGACTGTGTCTCACCATCAGAGCAATAATATCTTCAACAGAGGCCATGCTCTTTGTACTACCACCTTCTCAGGCTCATAAGGCGAGAAGATGCAGAGAAAACAAAGTGGGAGATTCTTTACTACTGGTCTGGCAAGTGAATCCCAGAAAAAGCTGCTAAGTTGTAACAGACCATGTAAACAAGCTCCCTGTTAATTGAGAGAAGCCAGACAGTCTTCACCCTGAAGGTTTTTCAGAATAAAACATAACACCTAAAACAACGTGGCACACTTATTTATCTGGAGGATCACTGAAAGTGGTGATGTTGTAGTTCAGCGTGATATTAACGTTGCTACTACTGATAGAAGGGAGAAGAGGGCTGCGCAGGTGTTGGAAGAGGAACAGCAGCAAAAACGGATTAGAGAGATAATCATGGCCCCGAGTGATGCTGAAATCTTTGAGGGCTTCTCCGACTGTGAAATGGGGGATGGGGAGGAAAGCAGGGGAGTCAAGCAGGCTACTCGTGAACAAGAGTCCGACGAGGAGATTCAAAGGAAGCTTATCCGTGATATACTTAACGCTCCTACAGAGGACGAGGACTTCATGGGGTTTGAAGGGAGTGATGGGTCTGGGAGTGACATGGGGGAGGAGGATGGGCTTGATTGGACCCAAGTACAGGAGATTAGGGATATCTGTAACCAACCCACCTCCAGCGATGACTTCGAGGGGTTTACAGGAGAATGGCAACCGGGAAGCACTTCGCAAGATCTAAGTCTTGACAGAAGCTGGCAGAGGTGGAGGGATGGGCGCTCGGGTTCAGCTGCGGGGATTGAGGCAGCTGAGAGCAATGATGAAAGGGTGGGGAGCACCTCGTCTTCTGATGAGGAACTTTAGGATAAAAGTGGGTTTTGTTTGTATGGATCTTTGCAGAAGGCAAAGTGTCTCTTTTGGGGTGTGAATCTGCCAATTCTCGAGCTTGGGTCCTTGGATTACAGATTCCTGTGTTCCTGTGTTTACTTCTTGTGATTCCGTGAACGACGACTTCTACTCTACTGCTTTGACTCCGGACCGTTTGGACAACGTTTTTGCTTTTCAGACTTAAACAACTTGCCTACTTCATGCTTTGACCTTGGAACTTTTTTGGACTCTGTTTTTGCCTCTCCTTATTGTGTTTTTCGAACTGTGTGAGTTTAAAGCGGATTGCTGGACTTTTGTGTTGAACCGGATTAAATGCCAGGATAATCCGGTTTATATTTTAGTTGCTTATATCACCTTGTTTTTGATGCCAACTTGTTGGCTGAGCTTGAGACACTGAATTTAAGTGTTTCAAAGACTCTTTTGTGAACAATAAAATTGTGTTTGGACCTTTTACTCTGTGTTTGGCTTTACTGAGGCTTCTGGGTCTTGACAGGTGAATTTATTTTTGTGTAAACATGCACCAATAACACCCAATTTTCTTCAATCTGGCAACCCAATTAACTTGACTATATCCACTTGACTAAAGTAATGTATCTGTCTTCATGTTGCCTGTCAATTTAAGAGAACTTCATGAATTTCATAGCATTTTCTTAGGCAAGGAGTATCCTCATTGCCTTCCTCTGAATACAGCTATCTCCCTTCTTGGAAGTTGTTCCAAGTACTAACCAAATCTTCCAAAATCAAATGGGATTTGGGGTCTTTAGAGTAATTTATGAATATGACTCATATTTACCTGGTTAGCAAAAAGTAAATGGCAAATAGTGGGATCATCTTTGTCCTTCACAATAGCTCGAATCAGCTGCAACATTGGAGTAATTCCTTCAAGGAAAAAAAGATAGTGATAGCACTCGACAAGAAAATCCCCATACAAGAAAGGAAATGAAGAAGTATTTCACATACCTGTTCCACCTGCTATCATCCCAACATACTTCACTCTTTTAAGAACTGGTTCAGACTTCTTGTCTGGCCGAATGGCAAACACACCTGCAGAAACAGTGAAGGAAATGAGCAGAGTATATATATGTCTTGAGTGGAGGAAGAACACTGAGGCAAATGAACTAGAGTAAACACGAACAGATGTACGAGGGGCTGCTGATAAGTCCTTGGCTTTACCCAGAAAGAAACGAGATAGGAAGATGAAACTTTACATTTATTCCACATACTCTCCACTGATATCAACACATTTCTTACATTGGTATTCAAAGTTCTGTAAGCCTTGCAAAAACAAGGATTTTGGTTGTGCCTCAAACCCGTCTTCCGTAGCAGTCATGGCATCAGAACTGGTGTGAAATTTGGTACCCTTGAGGTGTTTCTTCAGGTTTGGAAACAGATGATAGTCAGAGGGAGCTAGATCCAGTGAATAAGGTGGGTGGTCAACCAGCAGGATGCCTAGCTCCACCAGTTTTGACATGGTCGCTTGTAAAATGTGAGCAGAGACATTGTCTTGCAAGAACAAGATTCCTTCGGACAGCTTGCTGTGCCTTTTGGCCTTCAGAGCTGCTTTCAATTGGTCCAAAAGTTCAAGGTAATACCTTGCATTGATGATGGAACCATTTTGAAGGTAGTCCACTAGCAGCATGCCCTCCTTAGCCCAGAACACAGATGCCATCACCTTAGTGGCTGATTTTTGCATCCTGAACTTCTTTTGATGAGGAGAACCACTGTGCTTCTATTCTTTTGACTGCTCCTCGGTTTCAGGGTCATACAAATAAATCCAGGTCTCATCCATAGTGACCAGTCAATCCAGGAAGTTTTTATCAGTCTGGCAAGATTGCTGACAAATGGACTGGGAAGTTTCACTCACATGCTTTTCTGATCTGTTGTCAAACATTTCAGGACCCACTTTGCAGATAGCTTCTTCATGTTCAAATGTTCATGGATAATGACTCAACACATTCACAAAATATCCCCATGATGTCTGCTATTTCTTTAGCTGAAATTTACCAATTCTCCAGTATGAGGCTGTGCACAGCATCGACGATCTCTGGAACAACAACCACTCTTGGTCGTCCAGGATGTTCCTCATCATTGGTGCTGTAGTGGCCCGTTTTAAATTTGGCAACCCAGTTCTTAACTGGAGAATATGAAGGGCATTGATTCCCCAACATCTGTGATCATGAATATCCTTCACTTTCCTTGCAGAAACAAGAATTTTATCACTCCTGAGAGGTATTGCCTTAGACTTCGCCATTTTGTTTCCCCGAGTGATAGATCACTGTTGCCATAAGTTACAAACACAAAATATGAGACACATAGGACTTTCATGTGATGTAACATTTGTAACCATAGAAACAAAAAAAGAACACAAAGCCAAAGACATATCAGAAGCCCCTCGTATAAAAGAATATAGGCAACGAGAAAGGACTCCCTATTCTATAATGCAGAGCTTTCCAAACTGTCATGAAACATTAATGTGTCAAATGACCATAATGAGAAACATCGTCTGTGTGAAATAAGCAATAAATCATATATATTTTTAAAATATAAATGAAAGGTTTTCATGAGACATTCCACCAATTTCAAACCAGCTTCAGAGCAGCATACAAGACTGCTATGGTCGCCTTAGTGCATGATCTCCGTCTTAACACTGACAAGGGGTGTGTGTCTCTGTTGGCCCTTCTAGATCTCTCAGTGGCATTTGATACCATCAGCCATGATTTCTTTCTGAAACACCGGCCCCGGGGGGGGGGGGGGGGGTTGGGAATCGGAGGCATGCAGTGATTCTGGTCATATTTATTTATTTATTTATTTATTTTACTTCATTTGTTGACCGCCGCTCTCAGCCCTGGGGCGACTCGCGGCGGTGTACAACATATAAAAACAGTCTACAAAAACATACAATGAATCGACAACCAAATTACACATTAATCTAAACACAATAATAAATCCGCGCCATCAACATAGAGAACATAGCCAATCTCATAATCCAAGGTCCATTCCAGATGTCATTACCAAATTCGTGTGGGTCTCAATTGAATGCCTTCCCGAATAGCCAGGTCTTTAGGCTCTTACGGAAGGCCATAAGGGAGGGCGCCTGTCTAATATCAGCAGGGAGGGCGTTCCACAGCCGGGGGGCCACCACTGAGAAGGCCCTCTCTCTCGTCCCCGCCAGGCGTGCCTGTGAGGCGGGCGGGATCGAGAGAAGGGCCTCCCCGGATGATCTCAAGGCCCTCGTGGGCTCATAGGCCGAGATGCGGTCCGAAAGGTATTTTGGGCCGGAACCGTTTAGGGCTTTGTAGGATAACACCAGCACCTTGAATTGGGCCCGGTAGCAAATCGGCAGCCAGTGGAGCTGGGACAACAAGGGCGTTGTGTGCTCCCTGCGCCCCGCTCCCGTTAGCAACATGGCTGCCGCGCGCTGGACTAGCTGAAGCTTCCGGGCCGTCTTCAAGGGCAGCCCCACGTAGAGAGCGTTGCAGTAGTCGAGGCGGGATGTGACCAGAGCATGTACCACCGTGGCCAAGTCAGACTTCCCAAGATACGGGCGCAGCTGGCGCACAAGCCGAAGCTGTGCAAATGCTCCCCTGGTCACCCCTGAAACCTGGGGATCCAGGCTCAAGGATGAGTCCAGGGTCACACCCAAGCTGCGAACCTGCGCCTTCAAGGGGAGTGCGACCCCGTCCAGCACAGGCTGTAACCCTATACCCTGTTCGGCCTTGCGACTGACCAGGAGTACCTCTGTCTTGTCTGGATTTAATTTCAGTTTGTTCGCCCTCATCCAGACCGTTACAGCGGCCAGGCACCGGTTCAGGACCTCGACAGCCTCCTTAGTAGCAGGTGGAAAGGAGTGACAGAGTTGGACATCATCTGCGTACAGATGACACCGCACCCCGAAACTCCGGATGATCTCACCCAGCGGCTTCATGTAGATATTAAACAGCATGGGGGACAGTATAGAGCCCTGTGGAACCCCACAGGTCAAAGGCTGTGGTGTTGAACAGCAGTCCCCCAATAACACCTTCTGGGTACGACCCTCCAGAAATGACTGGAGCCACTGCAGAGCAGTGCCCCCAAGACCCATTTCCGCAAGGCGCCCCAGAAGGATACTGTGGTCGACGGTATCGAAGGCCGCTGAGAGGTCCAGGAGCACCAACAGGGACACACTCCCCCTGTCTAGCTCCCGGCGCAGATCATCCACTAAGGCGACCAAGACCGTCTCGGTACCATGTCCCGGTCTGAAACCAGACTGTGCCGGATCCAGAATATCCGTGTCTCTCAAGAATGCCTGGAGTTGTGAGGCCACCACGCTTTCCATGACTTTGCCCAAAAAGGGGAGATTGGAAACAGGCCGAAAGTTGTCCAAATTAGTGGGGTCCAGTGATGGTTTCTTCAACAGCGGTTTTATAATTGCTTGTTTTAAGCACGCTGGAATCTTGCCTTCCCGAAGGGAGGCATTAACCACCACCGTCACCCACTCAGCCAATCCCCCTCTGGCCTCCTTCAGAAGCCAGGATGGGCAGGGGTCTAGGATGGACGTGGTAGGCCTCATTCCTCCAAGTATCTTGTCCACATCCTCGGGTTTCACAAACTGAAAAGAATCCATCAAAATAGGACAAGCAGGTGCTTGTGTCACATCCACAGAGACTGCATTTAATGTGGCGTCCAGCTCAGAACGGATCAAAGCGACTTTGTCCGCAAAGAACCGAGCAAATGCTTCACAGCGCGTGACCGAATTGTCAGGGCTCCCTCCTGAGGTGGCGGGAGTTAAAAGACCTCTGACAATCCGAAACAACTCCGCCGGACGGTTCTTTGCGGACGCAATAGTGGCTGCAAAGAAAGTTTTCTTTGCGGCTTTTATTGCCGCGGCGTATGCCCTTAAAAAGGACACAAACCGTGTTCGATTTGACTCGCTTGGGTCTGAACGCCACACGCTCTCCAGTTCCCTCTTCCTTCGCTTCATCACTGCCAGCTCCTCAGTAAACCAAGGGGCTGGTTTAGCTCGGCTACTTGAGAGGGGACGTTCCAGAGCGATCGTGTCAATTGCCCTGGTCATCTCCCCATTCCAGAGAGCGACCAAGGCCTCGATAGGGTCACCTACCGCGGAGGCGGGAAAATCCCCAAGAGCCGTCAGGAATCCGTTCGGATCCATAAGCCTCCTGGGACGGACCATCTTAATGGGTCCTCCACCCTTGCAGAGGTTAGGAGGTGCAGTAAGCCTAAATCTGATCAGGCAGGTTCCAGATCGTGGTGCTTAAGAATAGCTGCTCCACAAAAAAGGAGCTGTTACGTGGTGTCCACAAGGTGCCATTCTATCCCCAAAGCCTTTAAATATTTACATGAAAATGCTGGGAGAGATCATCCATAGGCATAGGGCGGGGTGTTAATCAGTATGCTGATGACACCCAAATATATTTCTCCATTTCTCCATTCCTTCTGAATGAATGCCTGGAGTGGTAATGGGCTGGATGAGGAAAAACAAATTGAAACCGAATCAATCTAGGGCCCTAATCTGGGGATGGAGTGTCAACCAGTCTGTTCACAGCTTGGGAGTGTTCTTAGATCCATCTCTCCAAATGTCAGTCCAGGTAGATGCGCTGCTCAGGAGTGCTTACTACCAGCTTTGGCTGACACGCCTAGATTCAGAGGACCTAAAGGTGGTAGTGCAAGCACTGGAAACCTCAAGGTTGAACTTCTGCAATGCACTTTACATTGGGCTACTTTTGTACCAAGTTTGGGAACTCCAGTTGATTCAAAATACAGCAGCAAAATTGGTTACAGAAACATCTAAGAGGGAGCATATTACACCTGTCTGTCAATTAATTTCTGGGCAAAGAACAATGAGTTGGTTTTGACCTTTAAAGCCCTAACTTGACTATAGGATCACCTTCTCCTGTACAATCTGCCCTGAACTGAGGTCCCCTGTTGCCAGTCGGGTTCTGCTCCAACCACCCAGAACCCGATTGGCAACTGTCACCTTGAGGATCTTTTACATCCGCTGTCCCAAAACTGTGGAAGGCCATGCTGTAAGACATCTGACAGCCAAA